TCGTCATTTGTTCAATGAACATTAAGTTTTGGTTTTTTAATTTACGTCTGTTCTGCTTAAACCATGGTTGTTCCATTTTTTTAAGGCTTCTTATCAAGTAGGTAATGCATTACAAAAAGATATAATTGAAAATTTAATTACTAAAGAAGGATTAAAAACCTATAAGATATGATGGTCTACAGCTTGGAATTGTATCAATTCTATAATTCAATTAGAAAATAGTTTTAAAAATGTAATATTTAATTAATTTAATATTTTTTATAATTTAAAATATAATTAACTATTTGGTTTATTTTTTAGGTATTAGAAAAACATAATAATTTTTTTGAAAATGTCAATACAATACATACAATTTTATGAGAACAACTTCAAGCAATTTTAACTTTAGCCAAAAAAGCCATATGTGGCGTTGAATATAATTCAAGCAATATAGCATTATGGATTCTTGAATTAATAAAAATAGCTAATGCAATTAAAAAATTATTGATTACAAATTTTAAGTTTAAACAAGATTGTATCAAATTATACAATAAAAGATGACATGAATTTGATATTCAAACTTATCTTGTGACTTTTTTTTCTTCATCCAAAATATCAAGGTAAATAAAATTATTTTTATTTTTTAATAATAAAAAAAAAATAAATATATTTTTTTTAGCTAATAGATTTCAAAATAAATTTTTTTGGGAATTATGTATTTGGGCAATTAAAATATAGAAATGTTTTGATAGTGAAAAAACAAGCTCTTGCATTCTTATAGCACAAATTTGAAATATTTAGAATACAAAGAACCATATGATTTTGAATATGTAGCTGAACATGATACTTTGAAAATTTGGTGATCTTCATGCTAACAACCTAATAATTATATTTAACAACTAGCATTGAAACTTTTAGCTATTACTCCTTACCAAGTTAGTTGTGAAAGAGTATTTTAATTCTTAATTGAATGTCAGAAAAAAAACATAATAGGTAAATATAAATAATTATTATTATATTAAATTATCTATTTCACAATTACAATCTATGGCACAAATGCACTCTTATTATATAACTAATGCAAAATCTCAATTAAAATTTTCTTCAAGCAATATATCTAAATCCAATTTATAAGAAACAATTGATAAAATTACTGAAGCAATGCTTAATAATAGTAATTTTTTTGATTCCAATGAAAAAAACTTTAATGACAATAAAGATTTAATAGAACAAAAGCAAGCACCTCAAAACAGCCAAGGAGAAGAGGAAACAGGAAGATATAAAGGAATGGAAGTCAGCACAC